ACTAATTACCTCTGAAAGCCTGGATTTCAACATTTAGGTTAGAAAATGTTGTCTTCAATTTTTCATCAGACAGATCCTGGCTTCAATTTTTCATCCAACAGGATTGAACATATTATTGTGCCTCTTTTCAGAGAAACAATACAAGGCTTGTTTTTATGTCCATTGGAATATATGGAAGGCAACTGCCAAAGCCAACCGATCTGGTAACTGAATAGAACTTTGTTAATTCAACATTAATGAATATCACAAAGGACCAATCTTAACAGATCCCAAGCATCTTATTTTTAGCCCTTGAACTCCAATTGCCAAATTGTCCCAGAAGTCCTCCCTCTCCAGATAGGAACAATTCTAATTTACAGTTTATATTTATTCATAGACAGATTATAGCAAATTATTTTAGATGAAATTTTTGGGAAGCTGAATCAGCTTTTTCTTCACTTTACAGTGAACTAACTAGTTTACAGTGAATTCAGGTTTTTCTAGTTTTCAGCATAATCGCTTCGATGACTGCAGGGTAATTGCAGTCTTAGACTTTTCTCTCTGTCTAGGATTTCATTTTTCAGATTCTTCTTCCAGGAGATTATTTAAATACTAAAGATTTTTATAATCCTTTAGTTCAAAAAGTGCATTTAGTAAAGGACCTGTTATAACTAGCAATAAAATAAGTAACACAAAATATTTATACATATTACACAATGATATTTACTCTCAGTTGTCTCCATAGTTAAAGTAAATAAAAAAGCAGAATTATTTAATACTGACAAAATTATTCAAGTGTATTAACTAGAAGTAAATGTGAGGGTGAGTATTATAACTACTATTACAGTTACATCAGTTTTATGAAGAAGAACATTCTATTGTCACCATTTATTGAAACTATAAAACCTGGTCTTGTTACATCAGATCAATCTGTCTTCATATAAAGTCAATTTAATGCACTGGGCAAAAGTAAACTACTATGCAAAATTGGTAATTTGGGTGAAATTTCCCTCTTTGAGCTCTTAATGCTGAGCTACTGATGCTTATCTTCAAAATATAACCAGCACATATTTACACTTCGAAAGAGAAATGTACGTTTTAACTTAATTTCAAGCACCCTTTTCCTCATTGCATCTCTTGTTCACATTTTTGATGCTAGAAATACAGCTATAACCTGCTTGAGCTTGGCTTAGACATAGAGTTGGACAGATAGTGGTGTTTCAGTTTTGTCGATTCCTTCTTCCACCAGAACCTTTCGTTTGTGTGCTTTTGCTGCAGAGTTTTCAAATCCCTGTCATTATGCCTGCCAGCCTGATTGTACCCCGTGGGCAGAACTAGCCCTTCCACAGGCAGCATTTCATATCTGATTTACCAGCTGGGGCTGTGCTAGCATTGCTTTTAGCGCAACAGGGGACAAGTAGACTACAAGCAGCACTATTTATAGAATGATTTAGTGGGCAATAGCATCCTCACTCATTACCATCATTTTGTTGCATCGGAAGATGAAATTCATGCTGTCCTAGCTAAACTGGCATACAGGGAGATATTTTAAGAAGCAGATTATTAAAAGCTTGGAGTCACAAGATAACAGTTTTTGGTTACCCAAGGGTTCTACGTGTAATTTAGTCTCTGTTGTAGCAAAGATCCAAGCTGAAAAATACGGCTCAATGTTTCCAAAGTAAAGTTACTACCTGCAGGTCTCGTATTTTTGTATGTGAATCCAGGTAATCCAGATTCATCATTGCTTCTCCACATCCTGATTCTGGGTTTCCTGAAGAGTGCTTTCCTTCCAATAATACTTCTTTCTTCCTTTTTTTCCTCTTTTCTTAATGTGCAGCATAAAGGCCAAAAGGCAGCGCACACACGATACAATAAAGCTTCTGAAATATATTACCACATGTACTCAGCCACTATCCAAATCCATTATCTTTGACAGCATGTTGTTACAAGAAATTAATATATAAAGTATTGGAAGACATCAGCTGTTTACCAAAAACTGAATGGGAATTGCAAAATACTGTTTACCATCAATTTCCTATCAAAATGCTTGTAAGACCCCATGCTTGTAGGACTTCATTGACATAAGACACTAGAAGTACAGCAACCATTTTGCATGATTGCTTTCAGATAGTCATCAAGAAGTATGGCCTCACCCACAGTTTGACCAGAATAAAAATAAAGCTAAAATGAATTGTATTTTGAAGGAAAAATCCTAACAATTCTGTTATTTTTTTCCACAGTAACATGAGTAACGGTAGCCATAAGGAGGTATCCAGTAGTTTGATGCTGAAGAGCTGAGGAAAATAAATTTGAGAAAGAGGAAAAATGAAAACTGTTAGTGAACTCATTTTGAAATACCACTCTGCCTTTAAGTTTTTACGAAAAGCAAGAGATAAGCTTGTTTTGAAATGCTGGAAGTCCTGTCTCACAGTAACCTATGCCAGTCTGTATTTAGTTTACTCCTGCTAGGCAACAAGTCCCAAGTTCTCCACTCCATCCTGTAGTACCTGCTTTGGTTAATATTGATACTGGCTTTCAAAATCAGAGTCAGCTTTAAAGCTCTGGTGTTGCAGCCCTTACATAAACAGTAAGTCTTACAGACTTTAAGAAGTGCCATATCTAGCGTGGGCTGCTTGTCACACTGGATGAGTAGGATGTATTTTTCACCATAGGCTTTAGTAAGTCTGCAAAGTGATCAAATGCCTGCATACCGTTCTAAAATCCTTTGTTTTGAGGATGACCATCCTCTTTCTGAGGGCTGACTGAAAGGTTTTCCAGGTTGCATCTGCAGCTGTGCAGGTGCCTTTAGATCTCAGAAGCTGAACTGCACTCAACCAGCAAACTGATGACCAAGGCCGTTTTATCCACACTATAAGGAACACAAACCTGGGCACAGCTCCGCTTAGTTCCCTCTTTTCATTTTTGCCTTTTCAAAGTAAAGAGATAAAGGAGCCAGGACTGGGATGGCCAGCTCCAAGTACAAATAAATCGGTGCTCTTGTTTTAAGGGTTCTGAGCTGCACAAAGACTTAGAAATGCTTGATAAACAGAAACTGGAGACTGAGGATGAGGCTTGACTGAAAAAGAATAGAGAAAAGAAGAATCTATAAGTGTTTTCCAGATATTCTGGACTGATACATGTTGATGCTGCTTCACTCCTCCAGTGGAATGGTACCAAGTTAGAGCAGTACAGCACCTGGCCCTACTGTTCAATTTAAACTTGGAAAAAGGAAGACGTGCTTTGCCTGTTACTGAAAAACATGAAGCACAGCACTTGTTTAACAGCTTACACTATTTAGCAACTGTTGTCAAACAATAAAAAAATATTTCATCCAAATAAAATGAAAGAGGAGTTTTAGACAGCAAAGTGGAGTAATTAGCAGTGAAAACTGGCAAGGGTCCGACAGCTAAAACTTCTTTTAATGAAAAGCCCAGGGAACCTTTCCGGCATGCTTAACCCTGTTTCCTAATAGGGCTCACCCCCAAAAGTATGGAATTCTTTCTAAACTTAAACATATACTCACCAATTATTCTTTCTTTCCAATTATTTCCTGGGGGAAAAAGAAAAAGCATACATTTTTGTATATCCTGATTTAAACCACAGTTTGTTATAATCAGTATATATGCAGGTCCTGGTTTGCCAAATTTAGCTAAGCTGTAGGACTACTTGTTTGAGCAGGTAACTTCTCTCTTGTGATGAACATAAGAGGTATTCTCTGTATACCAGTGACTGAAAAGCTCTCAGGTGTATTTGTTTTCCTCTTGTGAAGAACAGCTTTGTTTATGACTCAGGGCTAAACTATTCAGGAAGTGAGAAAGCAGTACTTTGGAGCATGCGTTTGCAACACACTAGTCCTAACCTGGTGGCTTTGATTTTATTGGGAATAATGACATAATAAGAAAGTGTAACATACCATCCTTGAGTATCTGAGGTGTTGTGGTAAGACCTTTGGATACTCAAAATCTGAGACTATCATTGCAATATGGCTCTCCAAGTTGTGCCTTCTTGTTTCTAACTTCCAACATACTCAATTCAGAGGCTAAGAGGTCTGCCAGATTGTCTTGTTGCCCTTGGGATACATTGAACTCCTGAACCCTGACACAGTTTCAGAAACGATGTCCTTGTTGACCTTCATTTTCATCACATAAAAATTCAGATAAGCCCAAATGTTTTTAGTCTATAAGCCCAAATGTTTTTAGTCTTAGCAGCATTTTAGATTTTACACACTCAGAAGAATTTTCTGCTGTGTGAAAAATGAAAGATTGATAATTCATAAATCCAGCACATACACCCATGCTTGCAGCATGGAGGCCTACGTATGAGCTTGCTCTAAAGATATAATTCAGACCTTCTAAATATGTAAGTCTTTTTCTCCAGAAGGATTTAGAAGCTACAGCTCTGTGCAAAACTTTGAAATAAAGCAATCTGAAAGAGCAACATCAGCACCTTTATTCAACTCATCAGACTGATTAAATACTTCTTTCTAAGACTTTTATCAGACTACAGTAAAAGCCAAAGGTAAAGCTCCGTCCTGAACCTAACGGTGCATTGGGTTAGTGGGGCCAACTCATATCAATTCTGTAGTCCCTGGAAGGTGGTGATGTGGCTAGCAGCATCGTTAGCTGTTTTTATTTTTCCAGTCAAAAGTAAAGGCTCAGTTTGGTGGCCTAAGGAGCGGACTTCATGCAAGGCTTGAAACCACACCTCTGGATTCATAAGAAGTTACTATCCTTGCTCTGTCTTTCGCATCTTCATGTTATGGCATATTAGGTTTACCTTCCTTTTCTGCTAACAAATAGGTGTTACAACGTTTATTGCACATTATGAAAAGGCATTTTTTCACAATAAACAGAAAGTTTCTACAATACAAATCAGTAACAGGAAAAGTGAAATCCTCCATCAACAACTTCAGATCATGGCTTCTATCTTTTGACATTAAAACAACAGAAGGAATCTCTCCTTTCTCTTAATATAAAATTTCTAAATTCCTCTATTCATCACATGACTTTGGAGGCACTTACCAAAACTTAGTTGTTTTGAAAGATGTGTCAAGACTGAAGAAAGATGACATAGCAGCATCTTGGGACAAAAGAACTGTGAAATTTAAGTGCAAAATCCTGTAACTGATTGAAGGTTACATTCTGTCCCCCTATGCCCACATATTGCTCTTGTTAGCATCAATAAGAGCTGTGGATATACATCCAAGGATGGATTTTGGTCCTCAGATGTGACTTAGCAAAATATTGTGTGTTGAATATAAAGAAAGTCTGTACTTACAAACTAAAATTATCAGCAACAAAGTGGCAGACAATCCTCCCAGAAAATATCTGAGAACATAACAATATCCATAAAGGTTAGAAAAAACCAAGGGATGCATATTGGGTTAATAGAGGTGAAGCCTGGGTGGGAGGAGGAGAGAAGGTTCTTGCAGATGAACCCTCTGAACTCTCCTAGGTGAACTGTAATTTGAAACTTTAAATTACTTAAGCTATTAAGGATAATCTCCTAGGAAAAAAGACCTCAGCATTCCCAGACTGAGGGAAACATCCATACTGGTCTCTTAGAAAGACGCGGATCCCTTTGATTCTTCTCAGCCTTTCAAAACCCCTGTCCAAACACACTTGACAAAGTAGTTGTCAGATCTGAGTACATATTTCTTATTTTTGTTCATATCTATATAGCTCAGATATTTGCCTGCATTGACTATCATGTGAAAATATATATTCACAGTAAGATAGATCTAACTTTGAAAATGTGACCCTTAATTCACCAGTTGAAAAGGAGTAAGCATTAATGTCAGAAACAACAAATAAAAGAAATAAAAACTACCTTGTACATATTGAAATGATTAAACACATGATCAGCGCAACCATCTGAGAAAAGACATTTCGCACTGTGCTGGATTCTAAAACAAAAATCAGGAAAATAATTTTCATGAGTTTTCAGGAAAGTAAATACATGACAGGAGGTGTTTGCAAAGACTACCTTCAGCCTGTGAGGCCAGTGTCCTCAGGTTTTTTTAAGAGAATTCGCCTAAAGAGATTCAAAGTGGAAACCTAATTTTCATGCTCTGGGTGTCTCTCAGGAGTCTTTTTCCCCCATGACCATAGAGACACTGTGCCCTCGATGCTCTCAGAAAACAAGCCTTCCTAAATAATCGCCTGTTTCGGTTTTTGTTCCCATGCTCTTTCCTCCATTTTCCTCTTCACTCCACTTTTTTCTTTTTCTATTTATCATTAAAAATAGGAGAGGAAAAGATGTGAGCAGGGAGGAGTGAACAAATAAATACCAATTTTAAAATTTTATTATTTTTAAGCAGTCTTTTAAAATTTATGTTTCTTGAAATAAATTCTGTTCTACAAGGAGCCATATCAACATTTTTAATGTGAGTATTTTCAGTTCACTCTAAAAATGCGGCATATCAGGATAAGAATGTAACATACCTGCACTGCTCAAAGTCTCTTCATTTGCATTTATCGTAAACGGAGAGCAGGATTGTGAAGCACAAAATGGTTTCCCACGCTGAAGAAACTCCTCATCTTTGGTGAGAGAGGCTCCATTAAATGCTGGAGTTTGCCTTTGTGGCACATCGCTATTATGTTCAGAAGAAAAGTCTGAATCACCTACAAAAAGTGGATATGTAACTGAGACTGCACAAAAGAAGAGCTTTGAGAATTTGTGTTAATGAATTTTATGGGGGAAGGGAGGGATTAATTACTTAATCACAGGGAGGTTTCCAAATTGTTAGGAGTAGGGAATTGGTAGGTTCAATGTATGCAGGAGAAGATACACAGAGTAAAGACAGAACTGCATAGAGCGTAACACAATGGAATTATTAAAGCAGCCAGGTGAAAGCAGACAGAGCCAGTTATTAATGACACCATCATAAGCATCACTGGTGATGACTTTGGATTCAAAGTCAGTCTAAAAATGCCCTTTTGGCACAAGGTCCTTCTGGACTCATATTCTGTTTTAACAGCAGGAGCTCAATTCACGGCTTACAATTCTGTCATTCATCTATTCTTTACCTGCACATCTCGGCAGACAACCCCTGCAAAACCTATAGAAAGAGATACCCAAGTCCCACTAAATACAGACTGCAAAGTTGTAGCTCGATTACTTGGTACCTGGTCAGGGCTTACCACTATCACTCTGTCTGGCTTCTAGTTTATTGCATCCATCAGGCCAAGGATCATCTACATGGGAGGAATCCATATTGCTGAGGACGGTGCTGCTGAGCCATGAACTGGAGGCACTGAGACTGAACAAGCTGGCAAGAGAGCGACGGATTTTCTTCCTTCGCCTGAATACACTAGAAAGAAAAGACACTTTGTCAAGGAACAGAGTTCATGATTCTTGTTGAGCAGGGACAGAGCTCTAAAGCTTGCAGGATTGACATGAAAGAACCAGGTTCTGGGTGCTGCTCCTAGCTCTGTTCTTGACCCTG